TATATATATATATATATATTCTCCAACATGGGCTGTATATGAACCACCCCAGGAGCTGACCTCTACCAACTGGTACCCTACCTAGGGTGATAATTCCAGATATGTACTATCCAACTGGAATTGTATGTGTCTTCAATCCCTGAAGCTGAACTTGGACGTCTGTATCGAAGCTGATTGCCTATCGGCCATTAAATGCGGCGGTTAAATGATGCGCTAAATTTTATCTATCAGACCTGATTTAACCCTTCCAGAGCCGTACGTGGGTTAAACATGACAGTGGTGTGAACTGAAACAAAACTCTGATTAATTTAATCTCGATTCAATGGACAAAAATATGGATAACTCTAACAACATAAGAGCTGCCATGAAACAAAATATATTTATTTATTTTTATTATAGATTTGTTTCCTAAAATACTATAGCGTATAGAATCATAAACACAACACTGATACTAATAATAATATTACAACAACTGTTGTTTCAATAACAACAACAACAACAATAATAATATATGTATTAATCACACCATAATAACATGCCTACAGCAGCAGCTGATATATGTATAAATATTAACAGTAGTAATAATAGTAATGAAAATAATTATATCAGTGATAATACAGTCACTGTTGTGTCAATAATATTAATAATACAGTAATAATAAACATGCAATAATGACATGTCTACAACAGCAACTGATGTAAGTGTAAATATTAATAATAGCAATGAAAATAACCATAACAATGATAATACAGCCACCGTTGTGTCAATAATATTAATAATAAAGTAATAAACATGCAATAAAAGCATGTCTACGACAGCAACTGATGTAAGTGTAAATATTAATAATAGCAATGAAAATAACCATAACAATGATAATACAGCCACCATTGTGTCAATAATATTAAAAATAAAGTAATAAACATGCAATAATAACATGTCCACAGCACCAACTGATGCAAGTGTAAATAATAATAATTATTATTTTATTAGTAGCAGAATAATAATAATAATAATAAAACATTGCAAAGACATTTGAATGAAGCAGTGGGTATAGGAACAAATATGTCTTTATTGGTGGTCATGGTCTATAGCAGGAGCTAGGATGACAGCAGTAAAGATTTGCATGGCATGACAGGCAGCCCATGCAGGTATAAGTCCAGTTTGCTGACACCAGTGGTAGTAGGTGATGGCAGCTTGTGGGACTTGGTGTCAGGATCCATGGAGGCAGAGGGCTGCAGGGAGGACACCCAGAGCCCCCCCTCGTGCACTCACACTCAGCCTGTAGCAGCAGCAGGGGGACCAGCACTGGATGCTGAGCCGGTGACATTTGCAGCTCGCTCTGTGATTGGTCGGTGGTGGCAGCCGCTCAGCAGCTCACCCAAGCACTAAGCACCTCCCCGCCTCTCTAAAGGACATTATAATGCAGGGGACCCCCTTTTTAAGCACAAACCGAATTTTCTTTCATTTAGCTTATCTATATCTATCTATCTATTTTTATTTTGAAATCGTTAAGCAGCCGGCAGGATTTGGGGGGGACAGGCTTTCGCCCTGGAGCGGTGCGCGATGCTGTCTCACGCCGACCTCCTGGACGCCCGGCTCGGTGAGTCTTTGCCACCCTTCTCCTCCCCTCCCAGGAAAGCGTCAATTTGTCCCTGATTCCGCCTTAATGCACTCTAAATGGGCTAATTCCTTCTAAAGTAATTGTGTAGTATTAAACTTTAATTTGATTTAACTGCAGTCTTTGAATACATGGGATGTGGACATCCAAGGAAGAGGGATGTAATTATATTTAGACAGAAATAACTATTTACTTGAGACTCGTTTTTTTTTTTGTTTTTTTTTTTGCTTTGAGATTATTTGTTGGGTGAGCTGAGCATTTGCCTCCTTTTCCTTTTCTGCATAGGGGTGAAGTGTGGACTTTGCTGTGGGGCTGCGGGCAGTTCAGCTTGCCTTTGGGAAACTTTGTGGAGTTGGCAGTCTTTTGTGGAAAAAATGCACTGCTGATATGTGAGGCTGGGTGACCAGTGGGTGCCAGTCTGCCTTATCAGTCTGATGTATGGTCATCGGTTCTGCTTGTAGGGCACCTGAGCAGTGGTGTAGATAGGGTGAAGCTGGCTCCTAAATTGCATTATGTGTAGACGAGAGGGTAGCTGGAAAGCACAACTGTCCTGGCTGTTAGTAAAGCCTCTTGGCTGTGTGCTCCAAGTATATGGCAGCTATGTGGCTAGAAGGGAGATGTGAGCGCCCTGATGGTGGGCACAGTCCAGTGCCACTCATGTTCACCTCTCCATTCCTCCTGTACAGGGATGAAGGATGCGGCTGAGCTGCTGGGGCACCGTGAACCAGTGAAATGTCGCCTTGGAGTGGGTGGGTCGGACCCGGTACATCCGGGAGATCTGGCCAGCAACTCTGACCAGGTGGAGGGCACCACGCTGTTGCCGGGTGAGGACATCACCAGCGTGGGCTCCAACCAGTCCTCCATGGCCGTCAGCTCCAAAGATCCGGACAAGCAGCAGCAACAGCAGAACCCCAACCAGTCGGGCCAGCAGCAGAGCCAGAGCCAGAGCCAGAAACAGAAGAGGCACCGAACCCGCTTCACCCCGGCACAGCTCAACGAACTGGAGAGGAGCTTCGCCAAGACCCACTACCCTGACATCTTCATGAGAGAAGAGCTGGCACTGAGGATCGGCCTGACAGAGTCCAGAGTACAGGTAAGAGGGCATACGGGCACCGAGAGACGTGATCTGATTGTACCCATTCCACAATGACCACAGTCCAACATCTCCTCTAACCTAATAACGACCCCAGCATCAGTTCACAGCATGAGCCAATATCAGTGTTCAATAGGGCTGATTTACTAAAGGAGCGGAGAATCTTCACTGAAAAAAACGGTGTAAATATTCACTTGAATGATCAAATCATGTGAAAAGCTTCTGCTCGTGATTGGGCATTCAAAGCGAACAGGAATCTGCTTTGCACATGACTGGGCCGTTCAAGTGAATAGTCACACAATTTGTCCAACTCCTTTAGTAGATCGGACTCATTACATATTCATATAGAAAAATACGTTTTGGGGGTTAATTTACTAAAGGAGTTTGATAATATTTCTTTCTTTCTTTCTTTCTTTCTTTCTTTCTTTCTTTCTTTCTTTCTTTTTGTGTAAATATTCAACTCAGTTATCCAATCATGTGAAAGGCAAATTCCTGTTTAATTATCTCTCCTGCATAGGATTGGTTGTTCACAGTGAACAAAAATGTGATTTTCAAGTGACTAGTTAATTGAGCTGAATATTCACACAATTTTCTGAGTGACGATTCTCAACTCCTCCAGAAAATCAGCCTCATTTTCAGGATCTATCTGCACACACTTCAAACAAATAAAATGTGTAGTTTCTCTTC